CTATTATAAGATTAATATTTATTAATAATAATTATTATTATTTAATAATAATTTTGTGTTCGCACAGTTATTGTTGCGCGCAGATTATATTGGCGCACGAAAGAACGAGAACAACGTCAAGAAGAGAAGAGAAAGTTAAGACAACAGAAAGCAGAAATGAAGAAAAAGAAAAAGAAGCAAACATAACATACGATTATTTGTGTTCAATAATGTTTTAATAGAAAAATTTCATTGACGAATAGGCGAACGGTTTCTTATAATAAATTTAAAACATAAGTTTTACAATTTGGAAACTTTTTCTTTGACAGATTAATTTTTAATTTAAAAAAACAAAGCATGATAAGAATTGGCATGAAGAAGTATTTATTGAGCCATTTCATTAACTTAACACTTGTATAAGATATACAACAAAGTTAATAAATCGACATATACATTTTCGTTCTCAAAATATCAACATATTTTTCAACTGTTAAATTGTAACAGAAAAATAAACTGTATTAGTACTAAATAACATACATTCATACTTATTTATAATTACGGTATATATCGAACTTCATAATTGATATCACACTATAAAATCGCCCAGTTACAAGTACAATTTTTCATGATAAAAATTATATTTGTTAGATAGTCAATGATTAGTTAATATACTTTTCGTCACATTATAAAATGTGTTATTATTTCATATCCTTCATATGGAAACGCACAACCATATAAACTATATATTTCTTAATAAAATTAAATTATTTAACAGGCACTAACTATCAATAAGCTGCATTGATGTTTGTATAAAATTAATATTGTAATATATAAGGAATCTATACAATTATAACTTTAAACATCATATTTTATGAAATTTTCAAAATTTCAGAATCTTAAAAATATTAGTATAAAAATTCCATTTCTTTCCGTACAGTCCGTACTTCCCGTGACGTAATGTCTGTATTAATAAAATGAGAATATATCTTTTTCGTTTACTATGTTTCTCTTATTTCAATTTACAGTTTACTATATCTATCTTATTTTACATATTTGAAAGAATTACGTCTATATTGGCACATTATTAATAAAAATAAAAAAAAAATTATTTTTTAAAAACTTCAACTAGTATAAATCTTGTAATAGTCAATTCTATTAATTGTTTTACAATAATAACGTCATTTTATTTTACTTAACAATATTAACATGTTAAAAGTTTATAAAAGCAAAAAAGTTTAAAATCTATACATATTTTAAACAGAAATTGATAAGTCAACAAAAAACAGTAACAATTATATACAAAATTAAAATTTTCTACTTATTTTTAGCGTGGCACATATATCGAAAACCGATCGTTTTCATAAATTGTACTAAAAACAATATATAAATCTTATTTTTCTTTACGTAATCTCTTATCTTTCCATTTCTTATTCTGATTTTTACTGAGTACAATACATATATATATTATACCATATTAAATACTTTTTAAAATTCGCCGTTAATAATATTATAAAATGATAATCGAAATTTTACATGTTAGTTTGCATTCCAAAAACATACGCTTTTATATAACTACTTTATAATAAACTCAAAATATTCATAATTTCATAATATTTAAATATTTAAATGGCACAAAAAGACTACGTTGATTGAGGAACGCCCTTCAACTTTTTTAGTTCTTAGTGCCCAATAGAAGAGAGGAGAAGAATGATTGTATCTCCCCTCGCTATAATATATCTTAAGTTTTGCGCGCGATCTAGTCATTTTCTGTTATATATATTTCGGTCATATTCTGTTATATATTTCGGAAGATATTAATTAATTAATTAATATTCTCCAGGAAATTAATTGATTAATAAAGTGATTTTATTTGTTTAAATTTTCGGGAATGGGTTACTAATTCAACTCCCTGGATTTCTCCAGAGATCTACTTCGTGCAGATTACAAATTTTAAATCCGTATATAGAATGAGGGATCGAATCAAAGACCTGGTCACTTACGAGTTTGCTCCCATACTACGCTATCCCATTTTCATCCCAATCATGCGAATGTATATAAAAATCTTATATATATCTGTCGTCCTTACTAAAATAATATGAAAGCTTGTAAATGACTCCTAAATGCTCTACAATAATGGATGGAATAATATTAGATTCTATTGTTTATATATAATTGTATAAACTATATTCTCTTCTAAATAAATTGATTATCTGGTTATCTTATATTCTTCCTAACGGATATAATTCCAAATAAGAGTTGTCTAAAATTGAGTATTTTACTCAGTATAAATTCAATTTGTATATGTTTGCATACATTCGAAGGCCGGGTACTTGGAAAGTTTGAGTGCTATGTATACATGCAATTTATAATACATGACTATATATATGAGTATATTTCAACAGTTGTGTTGTAGATATAGTATATGA